AATTTCCTTAAGTACTTTAGTATATTAAATACATCTTCAGAAGGAATGAAGGCATGAATATATATAATATATATATATATATTCATATATATATATAAGAATGAATGAAGGAATGAATATATAATATATATATATATATATATATATATATATATATAATATATATATATATAATATATATATATATATATATATATATATAAATATATATATATATATATATATATATATATATATATATATATATATATATATATATATATATATATAAAAATATATAATATATATATATATATATATATATATATATATATATATATATATATATATATATATATATATATATATATATATATATATATATATATATATATATATATATATATATATATATATATATATATATATATATATATATATATATATATATATATATATATATATATATATATATATATATATATATATATATATATATATATATATATATATAAATAAAATATATTCTGTATACACACTCAACCTGACGACCTGGGTGACTCGGCAGGAATACTTGACCCCACTACTGGGAATGCAACACAAAGTGGGTTGCCTTGGCAGACCCAGCACTGAGACTAACCATGTTGAAAGCCAAGAAACAATCGAGCTGGGACAGCCCCATTATAGACAAAGAAGCCACAGCTTTACTGGAGACAGCAACAACCCCCACTGATTGTGCACGCGTCACAGCTGTGCAGGCCCCCCATGCAGGGGACTTCCCTTTGGCAGTCCCTATGTCTGCGACAGGTACAAGGCTTGATCCGCTGTAGCTTCGTATTGCAGTCGCTCTCCGCCTTGCTGCCCATATCCACACTGTCCCTAGGTGTAATTGTGGCGAAGCAACTACAGTACTGGCGAATATGGATTTTATGGCCTGCACTGTGGAAAATCAGGTGGTTGGCACTCACGACACGACGAAGTCAATGACATTAAGAGGAGCCTTGCCTCTGCCCAGTGTCCAGCAGAGAGAGCGCCTCGCAATCTATTGAACTATAACTCTGTTAGCTTTTCTGGCCGACCAGATGGAATCACACTGCACCCATGGAAAAATGACATACAATTGGCGTGGGGCTATACTTGCATATCCACCCTGGCAACCACATACATCAGCCTCTCAGTCGGCCAAGCAGGAGCTGCGGCGACACACACAGAGACACGTCAACCAACTACAGGGAAATGGATGACTCGTACAACTTCGTTTCAATAGGATCTGAGACCCTTGGTCCATGGCAAGAGAATGCGTGGATGTTTCTTAAGGATCTTGGTTCCAGGCTCATTGAAGCTACAAGGGTCCCTAGAATTGCAAATTTTCTCCAGTGCCTCAGTGTGGTGATCAAGAGGGGGAAAGCTCGCTGCATCCTCAGTTCCTGCCCGGTGTTGGAGGAGTTTGAAGACATCTACAGCCTATAGGCAACAAACTTTCCTTAATTTCCTCTTAATGTCCAATTTTTGTATCCAATCAGATATGTAACTTAACTATGTAATCGTGTGTACATAGTAATAAAGTGTACAACATAATAAAAATGGGGGTGGTTGGAGAATGAATACTCATACGTATTTAGAGTTAAATGGCATGTTTTCTCTAAATGCTCTGTAATCCCTTCACCGAGGCTATGGGTCCCTACAATGGCACTAGAGGTGGTACCCTTTATATATATATTGGTATCTGTCTTTCTTGTAAATATATGTTGTTGAATATGACTGAAAGAAACTCCAGATATCAAGCAGAACGCCTTAAGAGAGACCAACGTCGTCTATGCCTTCACGTGCCCACTTGGGGACTGTCAGCCCCGTAGATCTCGGTATATAGGCAAGACCACAACGTCTCTAGGCGAATAACAATGCACAAACAACAGGGCTCCATCAAGGAGCATATAATCTCCTTACACAACCAGACCATCACCAGAGGCATCTGAACAAGCAACACTGAAATAATCGACAGGTATAACGACAACAGAAGACTGAACATCAGCGAGGCGCTACACATCAAAAAGTCAAGACCAGCAATCAACAACCAATTAACATATAATTACATTTTACCCACTTCAAGACCCCGAGTCAACACAGACAAGATCCGCAAGAACATAAGTTGCATGTAATACCCTATTAGTATCCCTTATGGTATGCCGTTCATCCACTTGTTCACCTTACTCACGTTCTGCACCACCTCACCCAAAGAGAATATAAGCTTTTCAAAAGCATGGTAAATTGACTTGGTTACAAGTGCTGCTGGGAGATAATGAACCCAATAGTTAAAGAGTGTCACATCTGTGAAACAGAAGCAGAGGCGCCACTATTGCACTACTTACTGGAATGTGAAGCTACTGAAGCCCTGCACATCAAACTCAACATTAATTCAACGACAGCAGCTGCATTATATGCACATTCCACTGCGAATACAATGATTAGAAAAGCCGTTGAGGAATGGGACTCACTAGTAAGCATTCTGCATCTACATCCGCCACCAAAATAATGTTAATAAAACAAGACTAAAATCAGTGCACTAAAATAGAAGCGATAAATAAACAGGGAAAAAGGAGGAATCCCCTCCTCCATTTTAAACTTGGACCCAAATATCACAGTAACAAGATTATCGCGAATAACCGAACTCAATTACGGGCTCATTACAGCCCGTGCTACTTCGTCCTGAGTAGCTAAATCTGGAACAACAACAACAACAACATGGTAAATTATCTCTGTGCTAGCTGGAAAACAATGCATTGAATGAAGATTTAGAGTCGGTACGAATGATGACATCATGTAAATTATTCTCAATTGTATAATTTATGGCCTCCTTCAGGGCATATAATTCCGTTTGCAATGTTGAGCACCTAATATTCATGCTCCAGTAAGTTTCATGGTTGGTAGTGTAAACTGCTGCCCCAGCAGAACCTCTTTCTTGATCAACTGATTCATCTGTGAAGAGGTGAGTGGCTGTAGGTTTTGAGATGGTTTTCATTTGTTCTATGACTGCTTTGAACCTCTGCGAGTCACATGCTGATTTTTTAACTGGTAATCCTTCAATGAGTATCTTTAGACTTTATTCTTCCCATGGAGGAGGCTGCCGAAAGTGTTGATATGGTCTATCTTCCCCTTTGTTTTTAATGGTCCAATTCCAGTCCACTTTCTCTACAATCTTGACCAGATTATCCGTCCATGCACTTGTTCTATATTGAAGGTTTCTGTGAAGCTATCTGTGTAGGCTATTTTTGATTGATAGTCAGAGATAATATTCAACTCGTCACAGAAATCCTACATATAGGAAAAGAAGCACACAATTTAGGGCTGTCAATCACCCTAAATTGGATACCAAGTCACATTGGCATAGATGATAATGAAAAGGCAGACTCACTAGCAAAAACTACCAATGTTCTACCTGTTGTACAGGTTAAAATACCTCCAAGTTTTTCACAGAATTAAGGAGCAAATCAAGAAGAAAATTCAACTATCAAAAGTCGCCACAGAGTCAAAGTAGCGGAAGGAAGATGCACTGCGATGTGGTACAACAAGCCACTGCGTACTACTCTTTCAAGCCTGGCAAAAAGATATCCAGACACATTGCAGTAGCCATACACAGACTCAGACTTTGTTACAAGTGCTGCTAGGAGGTAATAAACCCAATAGTTAAAGAGTGTCATATCTGTGGAACAGATGCAGAGGCTCCACTATTGCATTACTTACTGGAATGTGAAGCAACTGAAACCCTTCGCATCAAACTCAACATTAATCTAACGACAGCAGCTGCATTAGATGCAAATTCGACAGAGACTACAATTAGAAAAGCAGTTGAAGAATGGGACACACTAGTGAGCACCGTGCATCTATATTTGCAACCAAGATAATGTTATTAAAACAAAACTAAAACCAATGTGCTAAAACAGAAGCGAAAACAAACAGGGGGGGGGGGAAAGAAAGAAACATCACCTCCATTTAAAATTTTGACCCACATATCACAGTAACAAGGTTATCGCGAATAACCGAACTCAATTACGGGCTCACTATAGCCCGTGCTACATGGACATTTCGTTCTGAGTAGCTAAATCTTATACAAAAACAACACAGCATGGTAAATTACGGGCTCACTGTAGCTTATGCTATTTGGACATTTCGTTTTGAGTCGCTAAATCTAAAACAATAGCAGCATGGTAAATTAGTCTTTGGAAATGTAAGGAGTGACCTTCCGAAACGCATCCCTAGGCATCAGGCCAAAATAAAAAGTGTGAAAATGATCTTTGGAGAATTAATTTTTAAATTTCCCTCGACAGCGAAGAAAAACAAGAAATATTGAGAAGATTCGTATTAGAATCATTAATCTTACTCTTTCGGTCATATTCAACAACATTATATTGTTTGCTGTTTGTTCTGTTATATCATTTTTCTAAATATCTTCTGATATGGGCGTTGATTTCTGTATTCCTATACCCGTTGTTTATTAATAATTGAAGGCATCTGTCCAGTTCCTTGTGGATATGCCAGTCAGAACAATGAGTAAGGTTTCTTCGTATAAATGCTTTTATTACGGAAGTCTTATATCTGGGCATTCGAGAGAACCAAAGACAACACTTTCACCACAGAAGTTTATACTAAACCCACTAATATTGGAATGTGTATGAATGGTTACAGCGAATGCCCAGACAGTTATAGGACCAGTGTAATAAACGCATTTATACACAGAGCCCTTGTTCATTGTTCTGATTGGCATAACATCCACAAGGAACTGGACAGAAGCCGTCAAGTATTAATAAAATCTGGTACACGAATAGAGAAATCGACACCCATATCAGAAGATATTTCGGAAAATGGAGTACAGAACAATGAATGATGCCGTATGCACACAACACACTCATTATGTGGTGCCGATGGTGGCAATATGCCCAAGTGTTGTGTTGTATGCTCACAACACGCTCATGTATGATAACGTATAGTGAAACGTGCTCATGTGTGGTATGTTATGCTGGCAGCACGGGTGTCTTGGACCTGATGGTGGGAGACTCGGCCGTGCTGGACTACCTGAGAGCCAACGACCCTGGCTGTACCCTGGCCACTTACGGCGAGAGCCTGGTCTCCGATACTTTCTCCATCGCTATGGGCAAGGGCTTTCCTCTCAGGGTGAGTATTAAACGCCTTCTCCTTAGGGTAAGTATTATCCTCAGACTGAGTATGATTGGTCCTCTTCCTCAGGGTGAGTATACCTGCTTGATGGGGTTCTGGGAGTTCTTCTACTCCCCAAGCCCGGCCCGAGGCCAGGCTCGACTTGTGAGAGTTTGGTCCACCAGGCTGTTGCTTGGAGCGGCCCGCAGGGCCACATACCCACCACAGCCTGGCTGATTCGGAACTTCTCTTAGAAAACAGTCCAGTTCTCTTGAAGATGTCCACGGTTGTTCCGGCAATATTTCTTATAGTCGCTGGGAGGACGTTGAACAACCGCGGACCTCTGATGTTTATACAGTGCTCTCTGATTGTGCCTATGGCACCTCTGATCTTCACTGGTTCAATCTTGCATTTTCTTCCATAAATTTTCATTCCAGTATGTTGTTATTTTACTGTAGATTTGGGACCTGGCCCTCCAGCATTTTCCATGTGTATATTATTTGGTATCTCTCTCGTCTCCTTTCTAGAGAGTACATTTGGAGAGCTTTGAGACGATCCCAATAATTTAGGTGTTTTATCATGTCTATGCGTGCCGTATATGTTCTCTGTATTCCCTCTATTTCAGCAATCTCTCCTGCTCTGAAGGGGGAAGTGAGTACTGAGCAGTACTTGAGACAGGACAACACAAGTGACTTGAAGAGTACAACCATTGTGATGGGATCCCTGGATTTGAAAGTTCTCGTAATCCATCCTATCATTTTTCTGGCTGACGCAATATTTGCTTGGTTATGCTCCCTAAACGTTAGATCGTCGGACATCATTATTCGCAAATCCTTGACATGCTGTTTTTCTACTATGGGAAGATTCGATTGTGTTTTGTACCCTGTATTATGTATTAGTACCCAGATCCTCATTTTTGCCATACCTGAGTACCTGAAATTTATCACTGTTAAACATCATGTTATTTTCTGCTGACCAATCGAAAACTTTGTTGACATCTGCTTGTAGTTTTTCAATGTCTTTAGCAGAGGTAATTTTCATGCTGATTTTTGTGTTTTCTGCAAAGGACGACACGAAACTGTGACGTGTATTTTTGTCTATATCTGATATGAGAATAAGGAACAGTAGCGGTGCAAGGACAGAGCTTGAGATACAGAGCTTTTAACATCGCTTGGACTCGATTTTATTTGATTGACTGTTACTCTTTGTGTTCTGTTCGACAGGAAATTAAGTATCCAGCATCCTACTTTTCCAGTTATTCCCATTGACCTCATTTTGTGAGCTATCACCCCATGGTCACATTTGTCGAACGCCTTTGCAAAGTCTGTGTATACAACATCTGCATTTTGCTTTTCTTCTAGGGCTTCTGTGATTTTGTCATAGTGGTTGAGTAACTGTGACAGACAGGATCTTCCCGCTCTAAATCCATGTTGTCCTGGGTTGTGCAATTCATTGTTTTCCATAAAACTAGAAATTTGATTCCTAATCCACTCTTTCAAACACTTTTATTATGTGTGATGTTAGTGCAACTGGCCTATAATTTTTTGCCAAGGCTTTACTCCCTCCCTTGTACAACAGAGCTATATCTGCAGATTTAAGTGCTGCTGGTATCTCCCCTGTAACCAGGCTCTTTCTCCATATTACGCTGAGTGCTCTCGCTACTGGTACTTTACATTTCTTTATGAATGTTGAATTCCATGAGTCAGGCCCAGGAGCTGAGTGCATAGGCATATTGTCAATTTCTCTTTCAAAGTCTTCTGAGTTTGTGGTAATATCCATTATATTATCTGCAGCTTGAATGTCATTCATAAAGAAGCTGTCTGGGTCATCAACTTTCATGTTGTTTATTGGTGTGCTAAACATAGCCTCATACTGGCTTCTTAGAATTTCACTAATCTCTTTGTTGTCCTCTGTGTACGTACCTTCATTTGTAATTAACGGTCCAATACTGGTCAAGGTTTTTTATTTTGATCTTACGTATGTGAAAAAATATTTCGGATTTTTCTTTATCTCTTGTATAGCTTTCTGTTCCAATTCCATTTCCTCACTCATATGAACGCTTCAACGTTTGTTCTATTTCTTCGATCTCCCTGCTTAGGCTTATTTTCTTTGCTTGTGATAGTTGTGTCTGCCGAAGCATTTCCGTTATTTTTTCCTTCTCCTGTACAGTCGTCTGTGTTCTCTTTCTAGAGTGGTCCTCTTTCTGCCCCTCCTCACAGGCACGTGCTTCAAGCAGACCTAGTAAGCTTCAGCTGTCAGTTGAGCTATTCCCTGTGTGGGAGTTTTGTCCCTTAAGACCGTCTCCCATTGAATGGTTGCAAGGTCTACATTTAATTTTTCCCAGTCGATCCTCTTATTGTTGAAATTGAATTGATTGCATATTCCTTCTCGCTTGTTGGGTCTCTTAGACCTACTACCGTTATTTATGCTAGTTCGCACTTCAATGAGCTTATGGTCTGAGTATGAAGTATCTGAGATTGTAATGTCTCTGATTAGTTCATCATTGTTTGTGAATAACAAGTCTAGTGTGTTTTCGTTCCTAGTTGGTTCTGTAATCTGTTGATTGAGCGAGAATGTCACAGAATCTCAAAAGTTCTCTGACCTGTGGTTGGTTATTTCCCGGGTCATTCCCTGCTATGATATTTGGTGTTTGCCATTCTCCATCGTAGACTCGGTAAATTGAAATCTCCAAGGAAGATATCTGGAGCTGGGTTTGCTAGGTTATCAAGTATGTTCTCTATTTTGTGCATCTGCTCTGTGAATTCCTCAACCGTTGTATCTGGCTGTTTATATATTAGAATAATAATTAGTTTCTCTACCTTAAGGGGGTTTAAGTACGAAAAAATTCGGGAAAAATCGTAAAATTTTGAAAATTTGTGAAAAATACTACGTAGTTCTGGCAACACTGTGGTGCAATCCGAATAATTTTACGATATAAATTTATGTATTTATGGTACATTTCCATGCGTAATTGGTCAGAATCCGGTGCCCCGCGGCTGTGGCGCACAGAAGGTATTGCGTCGTACGTTCTAAATGCCAAATTTTTCGTAATAACGTCGGAAATAACTCTGTATGAATATAAAATATACACTCATTGGCAGCTATCTCCTCCTAGTGGGGGTGAGTGAGGTACAACGCCAGCAGTCACATGTTGTGTCCTGGTGAGTGAGGATCCTCTGTCGACGCGCTCTCTATTCTCGCTCCTGAATATTGCATTTGTTGCGTCTACTGCACAATGACATGTAAGGGGAAGAGTCACAAGATTAGAGCAGCAAATCTGTTACTCGCTCGTCGTCTTTATCAGCAAAGGAAAGCCGCTTTAGCGCAAGTACCAAGTACCTCTACCACCTCATTAGTTGAGTTTAGTAGTTCTGTGCATACCAGGTCCTCTTTAATATACAGACCTACTCAAATATCCATTTGACCTAGTTTTTCTATCACATCTATATAAATTATAATTTGGAATCCAGATTTCACCATCCATGTAATCTTTTGTATGAGTTTCCGAGGCCATAGGAGGCATAAATAGGAGGCCATTTATGAACTTTATTTCTTGACTTTGGCTTTAAATCTTGAATGTTTGCAAATATGAATGATTGTCCATTCGACAATCATTCGAAGTACTCGATTGAATGATGAATGTTTGCAGATATGAGTATAATTGGTCCTCTTCCTCAGGGTGAGTATTATAGGCCTCCCATCAGTATGATTATTAAAGACCTTCCCCTGATGGTGAGTAATATAGACTTTTCCCATCAGGTTGAATATTATTGGCCTCACCCTTTAGGGGGATTCATAAATGCATTCCCCTTCAAGGTGAGTAATATAGGCCCCTCTTCCTCGGGCAGTATTATAGACCTTCTCCCACAGAGTATTATTGGCCTTCCCTCTCAGGGTGAATATTATTGGCCTTTCCCCACAGGGTGTGTATTTTAGGACTTTCCCCTTAAGGTGAGTATTGTATGGTTTAGATAACCAACCCCCGTGGCAGTCACCGTAGCGCATTGCTAAAGCATTCACCCAGCGCTTCGCGAGCGTTTTGGCCTGGGTTCGTATCCTGGCCGGGGGTTTACAGGGCGCCAATCTTTAACTGTAGGCTCTGTTTACCCAAGTAGTGGAAAATGTGCCATGTCGCTGCAGTTTTGCTTTTTCCGACTGCAGCGATATGGCACACCCGTTTTTAGTTACCCCAGTGAGATTCAACTGCAGTGATATGGCTCTTATGTTTTTTCGTTACCCCCATTGACCCTGTAACTGAATGTACAACAGCATCATCCCTAGTCTATTTTGAATCTCAACTTATCCAATTTATGCCCATTGTTTCGTGTTCTGTCTCGTGTTTATAGTATTAATAGGCTATTAATATCCCCCTTTGTCATGTCCATTCACTCCCACCCCTCTATCATGTCGCCCCTATTTCTTCGCCTTTCTTAAGAATGAAATTTAAGCTTTGTCAATCTTTCTTCAAGGATTGTTTATTGAGCATAGGGAGACTTCAACAGGGGTTTCAATAGTAATAACAAGTGCATGTGAATATACAATTTAAAAAAAAAACAGGCTACACCAACACTCAGACATTTTTATTTCATTCCTCCTTCACCTCCTTCAAACCAGAAATGCTCTACAAAACAAGGGGCCCAGAATGTGGAATGACCTTCCCAACCATGTTAAAGACTGTACCTCTCTCAACCAGTTTAAGTTAAAAACGAAGCTATACCTAATAAATTCCATGTAACCCACCTTACCCCCCTGTTGTCAACCCATGTATGTTTTTTGTTTTTTTGTTTTTCAAATCAACGCTGTTTGAATGTAATTTTCTGTAATAATTTGTAATTGTATTTGTGCTGCTTTTTCAACAATGTTCCCCCCCTCTTTTACCTCTATTTTTTATATGTACTCATCACATCTTTTCTTTTTACCCATTAGTTTTAAGCTGTAGTCATTAATGTTTTTCCTGCCCGAAACGCTTTGCGTAATAGTGGCTTTAGGCATTGTATGTACTAGCTCTATCTATAAAG